TGATCCAAAAAATTATAGGCCAATAACATGACTGCCCACAACATATAAATTGATCATGTGTGTCCTGACGAATTTTGCTTACTCTTTTCTCGATGAAAGCAGCATTTTTCCATGGAATAGAACTAGGTTTATATGATTGCAAAGATGAACTATTGATAAAAAAAATGATCCTTGAAAATTGCCGAAAAAAAGGTAGAAATTTCAGCACAGTTTGTTTAGATTATCGTAATGCCTTTGATAGTGTGTCACACTGTTTAATCTTTAAGACTTTGGAAATGTACAAAGTCAATAGTAAATTTTCTTAAAAATAGCATAACTATGGATTCAAAGTAAAAAAGAAAATGTTTAATCACCTATTCTACATGAATTATATCAAACTCTTTGCCAAAAACGAGTATCAGTTGAAGAGTATCCTCAATACTGTAATATGCATCAATATGAATTGATCACGTCTGTCCTGACGAACTGTACTTACTCTTTTCAGATGATAACAAAATTCTTGAAATGGAACAGAAGGGATGTCGAAGAGGTTCATATGGTTGAAAGGATCAACTACTAATAAATAATATGACCCTGCAGGAAAAAAGGTAGGATAAATTACCGTAAAACCTTTGGTGATGAGCCATACTCTTGGATCCTAAAGGCTTTGGAAATGGACAAAGTCTCCTCGGCGATAGTAAATTTCCTTAAATATAGCATGGTACTGTGGAAAAGCACATTATACCTAAATCACGGCACTTCCAATCGGCTGAATATCCGACGAAGAATCTTTCAAGGAGACTTCCTGCCGCCCCTTAGCTTTTGTGTGTCCTCAATCCCCCTATTCGCATGAACTAAACAGTGATAACTATGGATAAAAGCAAAAAGGAGATTGTTTAATCCCCTATTCTACAAGGATAATCTCAAACTCTTTACTAAAGACAACAATGAGTTGAAGGGTATCCTTCAATACTGTAAAATGTTTCAGGGATGATATCTGTAGGGATTTTTGTGGGGTAGTTAATGTGTCAAAGTAATATTCAAGAAAGAGAGAATTACAGAAACACTGAACAGATCTAGTTGTTGGCCCAAAGATTAGGGAACTGGAACAAGAAGAAGCCTATAAATACTTAAGAGTCAGCGAAAGAGATGGAATATCGGACTCCGAAATGGAGAAAGTAAGACAAGAATACTTCAGGCGCGTGTGTCTGGTGTTAAATAACGAAATGAATTGACAAAACAGAATAATCAGCCATAAATACCTTCGTTTGGTGGGAGGGTCAATATTTGCTCATAGTTGGTACCCTAATAGGTGCTACTACCCCGACCTGGACTATAGTTGACATTAAGAGAATATGCCGAGTCTCTTCAAGATGTTGGCAATCATGGCTCTCCACAATTCCCTGTCAGTTTTAGCTCTTAATAACTTTTGTGTTTTTGCCATCTCTCCCCTATCCTGCTTCGGTATAGTGTTATATATCTTACCTATGAACACTAATGGGTATGCCCCAATCCTCATAAATACGTTGGACACTATAGTAAGTGGGAGTAATATGCTGTCTAAGTAGTTCGCCACTAGCAGTGGTTTACCTACTTCACGCCGCTGGCGAGTATTGTATTTTGTTGATGTTATAAAGATTACCATTTCATTTCCAACCTCCGTTTTGGTTATTCCTCATTCAGTAACCCTTTCTAGGTTACAACATGAACGGAACGGGCTGAACCGGAACTTGAACTCGGATCTGATTTCACTCTCCGCGACGATAAACCTTACGCTATACGCAGTGAGCAGTTCGAAAATCGCATCACCCGCGATTCAGTAGCATTATTTCGCCTCGGAGCGGAAAGTTGCTCGCCTTGAAAATCGGCTTCAAAAAAGAAAAAAAAAGAAACACCTGGTTTAGAACTTCAAACAACGAACAGAACGACGCAACCATCGTAGCAGATCGAGAAACGCTAAAGATAGATAAATGTCTACTTATGTTTACTTTCACAGACAGTTCAAGTCCATTTCCTCTTCTCTGATACTTTTCCTCGTTTCCTTTTCCGTTTTTCTGGACTCCTTCCTCTCTCAGCCCGTCCCACCGCCATCGTATATTCATTTCTCAGGTAAAGTACCGTTCGTCCATCATTGTCTTTGATTGTTTGCTTTTTTTTATTATTTTTAGTTATTTACACACCCACACATTAACTTCATCTCCCACCCATATCCTAGCCTCAAAAAGTGTTATCCATACTCTTTACGCCCCTACACACCCACCCTCACACAAACACACACACACACATCAGTGTTAGCCACGCATTAATGTGTCAGCGTGTCTCCCATCCATCATCGAAAAGGGGCCCCAGTGATGCTCCATCAATGTCATCGACGCTCTCTATTGGCCCATGCCTCATCGAAAAATCTTGTGGTGGCAGAAACGTTGGCGAAATGTCTGTGTGAAGCTAATGACCTGTAGAAGAAGGGGAAAACGGCGGCAGGAAGAAGAGTGGTGGGGAGGGTTCACGCTTGATTGGACCTGGCAAGTCTAGTGATGAATGAGCAGCTGAGATCGAAGGTGTAGACCTCTTACACACGCGCGCGTGGGCGCACGCGAACGCGCGCCCAGACTCGGGCATACATATATGCAAGCGTATTACACTCATATGGTCTCAAGTACACAGACTTTCTACCATATATATATATATATATATATATATATATATGCATTGGGACAAGGCATCTCACACTACACCCCAATTGTCAAGCCCAACCCTACCTCTCCGGCAGCTACCCACCACCCCAGAAAGTCCCCATTTATCTGGCCAACCTTCTATCACTTTCAACACTTTCTTATCTATCTCTGTTGCTTGCCCACAATCGGTAAAAACATTGACGGGCCTGTCACGTTGGGGTAGCTCCCTCCGATCTGGCTGAATCAACGTAACTCCTCCTTTCTGCTATTTTATTTAAAATAAAATGTAGCCTGCAACTACTGCAGCGAAAATGTTTCAGATTTATAAGTTTATTTACTGAGTGCATATTATGGTCATGGTAAAAGTAATAGTAATCATAAAATTAATAGTAGTCGTAAAATTAATGGTAATTGTAAAATTAATGGTAATCATAAAATTAATGGCAATCGTAAAATAAATGGTAATCGTAAAATTAATGGTAATGGTAATTAGCCTTTCTGTACAGGAAACATGCAACATTCATTGACGGAAGATTTATTGTTACACTTAACATTACTGTCAGCCGAATTTTATTTTGAAAAAATTCTTAGCAATCTTTCAAGAAAATAAATTTTTCAAGTTCGGTTTTATAGTTTTAATATTGATAAGATTTTTCATTGAAACTGTTTTTTTTTTTTTGTTTTTTTGTGGGGTGGTTCGTTTTTTTTTGGGGGGGTACTATCGAAAATACATTTTTTTATCAATTCAACCAAAGGGAGGTGATAATGCCACTAAGACGCAAGGAGATACTTGGAGTAAAAGAAAATGAAAAGACTTTAGAAGAAATCGGAAACCCAATCCTAAACAGGATACAAGGGATAAACTGTTAAAAAAGACCGCGGAGGTGTGTGAACCGGGCGATGGGTGAACTTATCTACTCCAACTCAGTAGGAATAACAAATGAAATAATTTCAGAGTTTAGACGGAGACATCAGAAGTATAGAGTTGAAGTACATTTTAGTAAGGGACCGGAAACCTAATCCTAAACAGGAAACAAGAGATAAAAATTTACTCCGCTTCAGAGAGATTATTATTTTCTCTTCTATATACATGTTCTATTTGGTTGTTGGAAGTGTTATTTACTAAAGCTCTTTGTGAATTTTTTGGCGCCAGTCTATAGAATCTGATGGAGTATCGTCTCTTTTAAGATTCATAGGATTCATTCGCCTGAAGTCATTTCTAACCAAGGATCTGAAAAAGCAGTTGCATTATAGATTAGAGTTACAACATCCCTGAACGAATTTGACGCCAGCCATGACATCCATATGAAATTGCAGATATTACAAAGCTTGAATCTTGTTTTTAGGTTTGTATTTGGACTTTGTAGCAAATTGCGATCCTGGACTATTCGTAATGCTAACTATACTATGTTTAATTTTCTAAATTTGTTATAACTGATGCACACACCGTGGATTCTCTCACATTGCTGCAATAATGAGTCATCCCCAAGAATCGAACGCAGGACATTCGTGAATTGGGCCAAGAGAGGAATCGATTAAACATCCTAACAGACTAAGAGCCATGGTTTAGCCTGGCATCAATATCTCAGAGCCACTGTTGTTTTCTATTAATACAATATATTTGTTTGTTTGTTTTTTACGGATTACCAACCCTTTGAGTGGTATTTAAAGCCGAAATGTATTTTGAATTGTAAAAATAATTCTTTTCCCTTTTTTTTTAAAATTTTTTTGCAGATGGATATTGCATTAATTTTTTCTTTCTTCTAATTGGTTAACCAGTCAGCGACGACGATAAACTAGCCGTAAGTGGCTATCATACAAAGTTAAACTTAAATTATAAGTAAAATTTCTTTTGTGTTTATGATATTTCAATGTTTCGTGCTTAGAACGATATATCTTAATTTTTAAAGTGTCGGGTTGAATTTTTGTTCAGTAATTATCTGCCCAATACAATGACATAGGCAGGCATTTCCTGTCAAATAAAATACGCACATACCTTACCCACTCAGCAGGATGCATTGATCAAGGCAATAAGTTGTCATTAATTAATAATAATTAAATAGTAATTAATAATTCTGCATTAATAATTCTAAATGTCTTTCACATGCTTTTTTTTATTGTAACGCTAAGTCTATTTTTAAATTTTACGATCGTTAAATAAACGGCATGGATCTTGAAGAAAATAATTACATATTTGAAATCACATGCCCTCTTCTTAGAAGCACGTCTGTCCGAAACACTACCTTACCAACAAAATTAAGGTTGTTAAATTCAAATTTATCCAGTTTTAATTTCGAAGGCATACTATTTGTTAACAGTTAGAAGTAAGTATAAAACTTTGTGAGAAATTAATAATAATAATAATAAACTTAACCAGACTTGGACCTTCATGCCTGCAAATATCACAGTAAAGGACAATCTTTCTATTGACACCGTTATTATAGCTTCAGTTCAAAAAAGTGAGGATTAGAATTGTAATAAAGCCTAGGCATCATGAAAGTTAATACATTTTTAACAGAGTTATTAAACACTATTTCTTAGATTTACAAGAATAATTTTATATTTAAAGCATTCTAAAACTTAATACAATTAGAACTAATACAATGCTATATTTATCATTTACCTATTTATAAAGAAAAATAACATTAATTTTGTATCCATAAATTCATAAACATTTACTAAATTAATAAAATATTTGAACCAACTATAAAGAAATGCTTATTATTTACCCTTATATAAAGTTCGAATCAATTGGCAATTAGCCAATATTTTACCAATCATTTCAATGTAGTAAATAAATAGTTTAAATAAACAATTTAATAAATAAATAGTGTTTGTTATTTTTAGTTTGTTTTTTTTTTTTTTTTTTTTTTTTTTGTCATTTCTCAGGAACAAAGAAAATGTATAAATTCACTTTCATCACATGTTTAGATCATTACAATTCTAATCATCGCTTAAAAAAAACATTGCGGAGGAGTAAAGGTAGTAAAAATAATAGCGGTGTCAATGGAAAAACCTTCTTTTGATACGCTTTTTTTTTCTGGGGGAACGCAGATCAAAGTTTGCCGAAAATACTTCATCTAAGAAATTCGCATAACATAAGTCTACGACTACAGAATATCAACAAACGATATGTCGTTGACGTAAAAACTGGATTAAAATTATTATAACATAAAATATAGTTATATTACTAAAATATAGTTATATTACAAAAATTATTATAAAATCAAATATAGTTACATTACTAAAAATATAGTTATATTACTAGAATTATTATAAAATAAAAATATAGTTATATTATTAAAATATAGTTATATTAGTAAAATTATTATAAAATAAAAATATAGTTATATTACTAAAAATATAGTTATATTACTAAAATTATTATAAAATAAAATATAGTTATATTACTAAAAATATAGTTATATCACTAAAATTAAATGATGACGTCTACTGGATATCTCGAAGCATTGTCATCCATTATTATTCTTAGTTTAGCATTTAGGTTCAGCTTCATTTTTTATTTGATGAAGTATTGTCAACCATTATTAGTAATTTGTGGCTTGTATTTACTTTCATCTTCATTTTTTTTATTAAAACAAGCCTGGACAGTCATTATTATTAATTTTGACAAGTATTTACTTAATTTGTATTTACTTTTTACCACAACTTTACTCAGACTGTCAATCTACAGCAGTGAGAAGACCTATCTTTGTCGTAAATAAATAGTGAGTATCAGAGACATCCCAAACTATGAAATTAAGATGAAATAGACTATAAGTCAAAAAATCATAATATTACTACTAATCCTACAATAGTACGAGTATAAAAGACATTAGAAGAACAAATATTCTGGTGCGAGAGTTTGCAGAATGGAATGTTGAATTATAGGTTGAATTGGATTTTCAAAAAACTTATAAATTTCACGTGGCTGGGCAATCAACAGGTTTCTCTAGGGCACATAGGACATGAGTTCACATTTCAAAAATGGTCTAACTTTTATTTCCGATCCTATGCTGTCTACTTACTGCTGTCAATACTTAAAAGGCACCAGTCGGAGAAGTTTGAAATTAATATTACCTCAAAGATCGGGGGTTACCCCCAGAGAACCATTCCCTCTCGGCAGTATATGTCCTTCGGGAGGGGGTGGAGTCCTTACCGGCACCTGAGGTATCCCCAAAACGATATATTCCAAGGGGGCTCGAATAATTTGTGAACGAGTTCCCGCAATAAACCTCGACCTCGTTCCACGCTCTGTAATGGCGTGGGCGTGCAGATAAGTAGACACTGCCGTAAATCGATGGCCAGAGTAAATTTACGATTGATTGATTAATTAATTATTTTTTACAGGTTGTCAAGTCTTTATGTGTTATCTAAAGCCAAAAAATTATTTCGGGTTGGAGGTTGTTTACAATACCAGGTTTTCTCAAGCGGCCACGCATCTAATTACTGACCAGGATCGACGTTGCTTAACTCCAGTCATTGAATGAGGCCAGTGAGTAAACCTGCCAGAGAACGCAACCAAAAATTGACAGGACATTATATACTCGTTAAAAATGTAGTTCTTCTTATTATTATAGGTAAAGAATTCTTTTTCCGAAATCATTGAGACCAGATGTCTCGGTTTTCAGATTTTTTAGGACCCACATATTTATACTGCAATTATGCTGAGCAGACCTTAGTTACAGTTTCTTGGAAAGAGCATGTTAGGTAGCGTGATCAACAAGGCCAGCACGCTCAAGACCTCGGCCAAGGGTTCCGTCTACCCAATTTCACTAACAAGGCTTGGTATGGTTTTCAGGCACTTTTCCACACGCTGGGATCGACCCCTCCAGTCCGATAACCCTCAAGACCGATAACAATCTCCTTCCCGTCAAATCGACTATGGTGATATTCGAACACGGGTCTCATTGTCAGAATGCGAACATTCTAACCACTCGTCCATTAAATGTAAGTAGAAAAACAGCAAATGTTGTTAAGATAGATAGGTTCTGAAAGCACTGCCCGGGGCCCCAATCAAGTTTCCCCACCTTCTTCGGGAGTGGGGTGAGAGTATTACGCGCCAGCTCCGCCATTAATCGTGAAAAATTGTGTAATTTATATAATAATAATAATATTTATTTCTCAAAATATTCTGCTTCTGTGTCAATGCACTTAATTCTGAGATATTTTAATCACACAGATCGAGCATTATGCAGTGAAAATTTCATAAAAATAGTTAATAATTTTCTCAGGCTACGGACATACTGATCTACCCTTTTACTTCTCCCTTCGAACATATATAGAAAACAAATGTGCTTGCGTGCAGTGGGGAAAATAGAAAGACGAAAAAGAAAAAAAAAGGAAGAGAAAAGGAAAAGCAAAGTGATTGCTCAGACAGAACGAGAAATTTTCATCCACGGATGTAGTGATAAGCGCCGGACCCTGACTGAAAAGGCATTTTTACAGACCCAACCTTAAATATGGCAGACGGAACATTGCTCAAACGGCATCGTCGTTGTCTTATTACTCTAATTCAGTACAAGATTACACGGCTTAATTCTGGGCCAGGATTTTGATGGCAATATATATTCCAAGATGCTGAACGGAGATATGCGCTTCGACATTCGTCAACGTACATTCCAAAGGAGAACTGATTAGATCACAGAAAGATATGTTGAGGTCGTGACGAGCATTAGAAACGCTATAACGGCCAGGATAGATAAAATTGTAAGCATAATTATCAATATCAATATATATATATATATATATATATATATATATATATATATATATATATATATATATGTGTGTAAGTAGGCATCTTAATACTTATATATATATGTTTCGATATTTGTTACAATCTTTATATGAATATCTATATATTTCGATATTTGTTACCTATCTTTATACGAATTTCAATCATATAAAGTGAGGTATACATGTCAAAGAAATGATAAAATATACAATGTATTACAACTATATTTATCTATAGCCTTGTTTATACATCTACGTAGATATATATATATATATACATTTTCTTAAAATCATTTGAACATTTCATAACTTAGTTACCTCCTCTGGCGTTTACATCGTACAGTACATAACCTTAGCGTTTTTCACCTCATAGGTAAAAAAAATGAACTTTCAGATGAACACCAATTATGTCTTAAAAAATGATGAACACAACAATTTTTTTTCTCTTAGAAAAAAACAAAATTCTGACGATGACATTGTGATAATGTCGAAAGTACTCGGAATAAATTAATATGTATCAACATGGTAATTTTCTCCCTTTCTTTAGTAAGGATACCAAGAAGCTTGTACGTGAATATGACAGGATCATATTGAAAATAACTAGACAAATCTAGTCTAAATTATTCAATGAGACATGTCTTAATATATACGACGATTGCGTCTAGCATGAAACAGCCTATGGCCTCTGAGTGTTGACTTCAGTGTTCACTTTTATATTTACATACGCTCTGTCTCTGATATTGAGCACTTTATCCCATAAATATAGCACAACTTAACTATACTTATACTTAACTATATTTCTTCGTATATATATATATATATATATATATATATATATATATATATATATATATATATATATATATATAATAAAAAGGCTTAAGCACTAATATTCCATGGTCATAATTTATTCCATTGGAATCGTAAATACGATCCAATTCATCAGACCTACAAATTCAAAAAGAAAACAGAAAAAAACTTTTGAGAAACATTTATTAACAATAAATAAAATAATCCATATGCAAAAGTATTTAACACCAATGCAAATATTATGCTAGAAGAGACGTGTCGTCATGATTCCTACCCATATTGATATGATGTGATATGTCGACCAATGACAGCACTGCACGACACTCAACTGGCTATCAGATAACAGCTCCGAGACACTGCAGCTATTCTGTTGCCACTACTGCAAGAAAATGGTGAAAACGAAAGAATTGTCGAACGACATGCGCAAGTTCATAAAGAATCACAAAGATGGTAAGGGATATAGAAAAATCGCTCAAGATTTGAATTTACTTGTGAGCACGAAAATGGAAAAAATTTGATACTATTGAAAACATTCAAAGGAGTGGTCGTCTCTGTATCTTAAATGAGGCTAATGAACGATACATTTCCTGTACTGTGAAAAAAAATCCATTTTAAACTCGTCGAGAAATTCAGAATAATTTGAAAAATGCCGGAATTGAAGTTAGTAAAGTTACAATTAAATGATCACTGAATCGTGCAGGTCTCACTTCAAGATCATCGAGAAAGACTCCATTACTGAAACGCCGACATGTACAAGCCCGTTTAAATTTTGTAAAGTAATATGAAATTGAATCTAATGATTTCTGGGAGAAAGTAATTTGGTCAGACGAAACGAAAATTGAGCTTTACGGACGAAACACGCGCACTCATGTATTGAGGAAAAAATGAGCGGAATACGAGCCAGCAAATATCATTCGTACAGTCAAACATGGGGGTGGAAATATTATGATGTGGGGTTGTTTTTCCTCAAATGGAGTAGGAAAAATGAAAATCATCGAAGGAACCATGAATGCTGCAAAATACACTCAAATTTTGTCAACTCAACTCTTGAACAGTGTCACATCTTTGGGACATGGTCGTGATTTTGTATTTCATCAAGACAATGACCCGAAGCATACTGCTAAAACAACTAAGAATTGATTTAATAATGATGACATTAATTTCCTGAAATGGCCAAACCAGTCACCGGATTTAAATCCAATCGAAAATTTGTGGAAACTATTGAAGTTACGAGTTCATAAAAGAAATCCATCGAATTAAAAAAATTGAAGAAAATTTGTGAAGAATGGGTCAAAATGCCAATAAGTACCTGCAAGAAACTAGTTGAAGCCTACGGGAAACGACTGGAGGCTGTAAAGCAGAACATAGGCTACTGTACTAAATATTAGTAAATTGCGTTAAATAATTTTATTATTTTATTTATTGTTAATAAATGTTTCTCAAAACAGTGGTTTTAATTTTTCCTTCTATGTTTTGATCGACAATGTTCGTTTAAATATTTCCTATAAGTTTAATTGAAATTGATCTGTTATTTTTTTGAGATATGTAAGAAAAACCAATGTGTTAAATACTTTTGCTACCCACTGTATATATATATATATATATATATATATATATATATATATATATATATATATATAACATAAAAAGTGTCATTAAAACCAACGGAAAGACATTCAGGTGACTGAAGAATAACTTGATAAGAAGAAAAACAATTAAAAAAGAAAATAACGAAAGAAGAAAAAGTTAAGAAAAAGAAAAGATGAAACGTAACAAAAAAAAAGAAGAAAAAGTGACCAAAAGACTGACACCTGCCCTCAAAATCATTGCAGTCAGTCAGTTAATTGCCATACGTGACGTACGCTTGGACGATCATGTCTCTTTCAAGATTGTCTAGGCAGAGCTTTTCCCACAGTTCGTTGCCATTTCTTTCTACGGTAGACTGGTTGCCAGCGAAGGCTGCAGGAACCCAGTCTGTCCTGCAATTCGACTCCTAGCTGTGAGAAGATAAGCGTATTTGTGCGTAAATGTACGCAAAGAAGTCGTCTAGAATACGAACTCGTCTCTCCGAGGTCTCTCTGCCGAGCCGATATCCACAACACGTGCCAGATTTTAATGATCTATAGAGAAGAGATGTCTAAGAGTTTGAAAATCGATAACTCAGCTCTCCATCGTCATTTAAAAAGAATTGGATTCGTTTCCAAACACGAAACCTGAATGTCACATTCTCTGGCAGAACAGGAAAAAGCTCGATCGTGCTGCCGCGGTGATTCTTTTGCTGTTACGCCACGAAAAGGAACCGTTCTTTTAGAGAATTTTCAGAGGCGAATAAAAATGCATTATGATGCAAACGGAGCCGAAAACAAGCTTATGAATGTGCAGAACTCGTGATTAAATCGGGTTGGCATCCAATGAAGACGTGGCTGTCCGTTTACTTAGATAGAAAAGAGATAATTTACTTTGAACGTCTTCCAGCCGGCCAAACAAGAGGTACAAAGAAGTACTGCGACCAACTCACCAACCTCAACGCGGCTATTCAAGAAAAATGCCCGATTTTGGTAAATCGGAAAGGTGTCTTTTTCTAGCACGACAACCCAAAGAGTGCATGTTGCAAAACAGTCCCTTGTAGAAGCTTAAAGAGTTGTAATGGGAAACCCTCCATTACCCATCTTCTCCTGACTTGCCTTCTACGGATTTGCATTAAAACCGATGTTTGTTCCGATGTCTATAGAATAGTTTAACTGACAAAAGAATTGTGAAGGCAGTGGTAAACGACCTCAGAATCTCTTCCAACAAAAAACAGGAAAATGGTATCAACCAGCTTGTAGAATGATGTGAGACATTTGTTAAAATCAAAGGAGACTATGTAAATGATTTTTGTATGTAAAATTTTAGTTTTAATTTTCTAATTGGGCACAAACTTTTGCAATGATCTAATACTAATAAAGTGGGCTCTATGTCTAAGTTACCATAGATAGATATATAGCACTGAAGTGCGAGAGAAACTAACATAGATAGATAGATATGAAAAACGGAGATAGATAGCACTGAAGCGTGAGACAAACTAACATATATAATATATATATATATATATATATCTATAGAGAGAGAGAGAGAGATAGCACAGAAGCGTGAGAGAAACTAAGATAAATAGATAGATAGATAGATAGATAGATAGATAGATATGAAAAACGGAGATAGATAGATAGATAGATAGATAGCGTGAGACAAACTAACATATATAATATATATATGTGCATATATATATATATATATATATATATATATATATAGAGAGAGAGAGAGAGAGACAGACAGACAGACAGACAGACGGAGACAGAGAGATGGCAGTGAAGCGTGAAAGTCACTTAGATAGATAGATAGATAGATATGAAAAACGGAGATGGATAGCACTAAAGCGTGAGAGACTTAGACAAATAGATAGATAGATAGATAGATAGATAGATAGATAGATAGATAGATAGATAGATAACACTGAAGCGTGAGACCAACTAACATATATATATATATATATATATATATATAGATAGATAGATAGATAGATAGATAGATAGATATTAGGAAAGAGGGAAGAGATCAGATTAATATTTTCGGCATTTCATATCTGCTGAGCTAAGTACACAGGGCACTGAGATGTATCCATACTTTTTGACGGTGTTTTACGCGCCTTGCGGAGACAAAGACATTTCCTTCACGTCGAATCAGCATGAGAAGATTGATGAGCGCCCTCTACCGACGACTCTTCACACTGATGACCGCTGCTATGAACAAAAAATTATAAATAAAGAAATAAGAAAGGCTAAAACAGACAAACCACATTACCTCCCTTTCATATATTTTTTTTTTAACTCTGACTGCTTATATCGCTTGTATAGTATATAGTATTGAACTTGGACGAATATAGACTGACCGCGACAAGGATGATTATTTCGCTCTTCTCTTTACGCTACAATCATTTCTGTACTTTTTGTTGGAGAATTTCACCTCGGTTGGATATGCTTAACTGACAATTGCTATTTAGAAGATAAAACGGCCCAACTGTGACTACTGTCCAGGGTATGACGATAAACTACATCCGCGTCCTGGGTAAGACGATAAACTACGTCCAACAGCAAGGCCTCTGATCAGGAGGTTTTCAGGAGTGTGGAACCAACTCTTAATTGCTGGTGTTCCCAGATCTACCCTGACCCAGGGTGGTTGAACTCACACTCTTTGGGTCCTGTCACTGAATCTAACTAACGCCTATATCCACAGTTCAATACCCGGTTAAGGCAGTAGAGAAGTTGGTGAGAGGAATTAAGCAGAAGATAACTAATAATTGACATACATTAAACATGGCACGTGGAACTAGAACAGTCTACCCCAAGCGAGCGAAATAAAGGGTTCAGTTTGACATTCCAACCACCTGAAGAAGGCCGGAGCGTACAGCGGCCGAAACGTTGTAATAAATATGGCGAAAAGATGAGAACAATAGACCGAATAATGTAAATAATGTACATAATACCTCATCTCAGAAATATAGACATATACTGAAGGGCCGAAACGGTGTAATAAATATGGCGATAAAGAATAGGACAATAGTCCGAATAATGTAAACAGTGTACATAATATATCATTTCAGAAATATAAACAGATACTGAAGCAAAGATGAGGACAATAGTCTGAATAATGTAAATAGTGTACATAATACTTCATCTCAGAAATATAGACAGATACTGAAAGGCCGAAACATTGTAATAAATATGGCGACAAAGATGAGGACAATAGTCCGAATAATGTAAATAGTGTTGTGACGTAGCCCCAATTTCATTAACCACATAGGCGTAAGGCTAAAAAGCACCCCAAAGTAAAATCTCAAATTCTAGTCGAAAATTAGTTAGATATAAAAGAAAAATAAATAAAAAAATAAAAATAGATAAAATTCAATGCTTTCAACTTGCGAGCGAATATGTTCCATGATCAGCCATACCCTCCTCTTCTCTTCACAAATTCTTTCCCTACTCTTCCACCCACAAACCAAGGGCCCGTGAACTTTGAAGCAACCCGACGCGAGAATGACCTGGTTCCAAAATTTCGCAGCTATCAGGCGTTTGACCATAAGTGAATTCCAGGCACCATCAGGGTCTCCTGCTGCGATTCACGTGATCAGACCATACTAAGCGTGGATTGAACTTTTGACCATCACACAAACACTGCGTGATTTGCGCCCCATCCTCCTGCGTACCCGGTCAAGGACGAAGGGGACCCACGTGACTGTCTTTGGAGACAGCAAAAATCTAAAAAAAGGATTTTCAATTTCCCTCTGACCAGTGGCAGATGAACGTCGCTGGGCAACTTGTCCCGATTCCAAATAGGCTGCCCACTGAGATGAAGAAGACAGCAATGTCTGTCGACTAGAAATAAAAGGACTGCTATGAAACTGAATCGACCCAACGAAGCGCCCGTGCGAGATGTTGTTAGCCCCGAACACTTCCGAAATAAAAGGAACCCAGGAAAATTGCCGGCCGACCAAAATATTGTTTCAGCACAAGAACTCTCGCTTCGGCGAATCAGAATTCTGTGTGAAAATATCAACTCCACTGACAGATAAGTTGATTCTCTTGGCTTGATCTTCTTTTTATATATGTATATATTCGCTCTCGCCCTCTGTTCTTTAATGGTGCCCTTCCCCTTTGTTAAATGAATGTTCTTTTTTTTTCTTTCTTTATCTGTTTATATATTTATAAATAAATGCTTTATTTTGAAATCCATCGCCTTGTGTCTGTTCTTCGTTGACTCCCTTGTGTCGCTTCCATTTCTGAGTGAAGACCGAGAAAGGATCCCACGTTTTCCTTTTTTTTTAAACCCGTGGTTCATCTATATGCTACAAGTTCGTAACAGTGTACATAATACCTCATCTCAGAAATATAGACAGATACTGAAAGGCCGAAACGTTGTAATAGATATGGCGACAAAGATGAGGACAATATTCCAAATAATGTAAATAGTGTACATAATATCTCATCTCAGAAATATAGTCAGACAACTGTGGCTAGTTAGAGAACGCTGCCTTCACCGGCTGAACGAGTCATACCAGCTTTTGTATCTTCTGCTATATTCGACCATGATACATTGAAGTTATATTTTATAGGTGCACTACATTGTTTTTTAAACTTATTTTGATTCAAAATGTTGTATTTCTGTTTAGTAGAATTCATTTCAACAGAATGAGTGATTGGATTCATTTCTTTTTAATCATTTCACTCCCAATCAAGGCGATAATGCCACTAAGACGCAAAAAGTTACAGGGTATGAAAGAAAATAAGAACACGTCCGTGATGAGAAGTGAGGACAAAGGACAAATAAAGGAGCAGGGTTCAAGAGGACAAAAGATGATGATTGACATTGCATTTATATTTTTTTAAGATGGGAGGCACGATGGAGTAATGGATAGTGCCTCGGATTGAGGAATCGGAGAGCCGAGTTCGAATTCCAGTCGAACCCAGTGAATTCATTTACGTGACTTGGGAAACGTATGAATCATCTTCTCCTCCCCACAGCTATGGTTAAACAGCAAGACAGACCGGATTATATAGCATTGGATGGCAACTGGTCAACAACAGAAAGAAATGGCAACATACTGCGGAAAAAAATCTGCCTCGTCAGTCATGTATCGAAAGATACATGACCGGCTAAGCGTGTATCGAAAGATACATGATCGCCTAAACGTGCATGATTGACTGACTAATGATTGTAGGTGACTGGGAAGCAAGAAATTGAAAGTGAGTTTCACAGGTAAGAAGTGCGAGAATATAAACTATTAGAATATAACAACCAGCTGCATTTAGCTAGTTCAATAATGAGACCTAATTTCCAATCTAGAAACAAGTTTATTAGAACAACATGAAAATATTTGTAGAAAATACAGAGGAAAATCACGTCATGTTGGTGAGAAAGTGACTGAGAAAGTCGAGTTACCAGGTCAGAATCGATTACATTAGAGACCCCTCTTTGAATTTTGTCAATTGGCAACATTTATGGATTATTCATTCTAGAATTTTATCGTATTTCAGATCGATACTTCTGGGTGCTACAAGCCTTGTTAAAAGAATGGTTAATCATGGTCGTTCCAAGATTAAACTTCTTAAACAGATTTCTAAAGATATCTTCAGCTATCTTTTATCCTTTTCAAAATCCTCTAAATCCCCAAATATATCATTTATAATATTAAATCTGCATAAGTAGTCTATGTTTCCCGAGCGACATATCATGATTACTCAAGTATCAGTACCGAGCATGACATTATCAACAGCATGCTCATCTTATAGCTTAGTGGGTAACAATAAATACTTTCCTCTTGATTCATCCTTAAATGAACATGTTTTCGTGATGTCAACGTATACTCGTTGCCACTTTTGTAGTGCCAACGAATACTCGTTGTCACTTTCGTAATGCTCGTTGTAGTAGAGACTTTAGATACAACTATAGCACGCCGTCGAACAATACTGGTGACAGACGCCTTCGAATATCTCTCGCACTAATAGTAACTACTCAATAATATTCGCTCGAACAGTAGTCCGTGTTGTGATACGAATAGAGAAATAGTATAGGGAATAGAGTAGAGAATATCTGTTCATATAATAATAGAGGATAGAATAGAAATGGTGATCCGTATAGTATAGAGGATAGACTAGGAATAGCGATCCGAATAGTAATAAAGGATAGAGTAGAAATGGTGATCCGTATAGTAATAGAGGATAGACTAGAAATAGCGATCCGAAGAGTAATAGATGATAGAATGGAACGCCACTTTCTATTCATGCGTTTCCTCTATGGTCACGTGATCTACTTAATTCGATAATAAGATTGCCTGTGTTTGCTCACTAGCGATCTATGTTCAAATTCAAGTGTCGGCAGCAACCCTTTATTCTTATATAACACATGTCCACTGAGATCCAGTTATCTGAAAGTTTATTAGTTACATACCAAGTGATTTGGTATAATTAGCGGTCGCAACTCTAATTGATGGTTGCATTGCTTCATTTTTTTTTTAGAGACGCTGTCTCCTTGCTGTTGTCAGTGATGTTCCTCTACTCAGCAGTTTTAAGATGCGATCCGAAAGCAATAGCCTGTCGTAATATGCAACATCATCTTTTACTTACCGGGAAGTTTTACTTTATCTTACTGGGATTTTCGTTTTGCACCTCTATTGTTTATATTACTCGGTGTCCCTAAGTTGTTCCTCATCTAAGCAATCACCAGGATCGACGCTGCTGAACTTCGGTAATCGATGGTGCATTCAACGCGATTTAACTGTATCACTGAGCCGATTGGAGGTACGATTTTCGGAGTAATGGATTGCAACTCGGATTTAGGAATCGGAGAGCCGAGTTCGAATTCAAACCTCGAAGGCTCGCCTTGTTCTTGGACACAGGGCCGATGATTCCATCAGGCGGAACACACCACCCTTGGCCGTTGGCTTCTGTCTAGTAAGC